GCTGGGTGGAACAGGAACCCTGTGTTCAGGATGTCTGTTCTTCAGTTACTTGGGCTCAACAGTACATCTTAGTCCTGCCGTTTTAAACTCCAGAAGGTTTGTGTGTGAGTACAGACATAACCTGATAAGCTTATAAAATAGAAAATGCCATGTCACATCCCCCCCAGTTGGAGCTAACCCTTTCCCAGACCTGGTATCTGCAGTAGTTTCTAGGCAATTGCAGATAAGCCAAAGTCCACAGGATGGATGGGTGGTAGCTGGTGTACATCTGTACTGCACCTGGTGCATATCTTTTAAAAAATAGTCTCAGTAGTTCTAACCTACCCTTTCGTTTGGTCAGTCTGTGCAGTCTTTAAATAAATCAAACTACTTCAAAAGCAATCGTCGTTTCGTGCCATAAAAAATCGCAGGGTGTGCCCGTTCAGACGTTGGTTTTTGATCACAAATGTACTCTGACCTCTGCAGAAGGAGCAGGAAAATTGAATGTGTGGGCTGATAGATGTGCTGAGCTGCTCTTCTCATCCGTGCTCGGCTCGAGACACACGTACAGGTCCCAACTGTCCTTGTCAGTGAGCGCCCGCCTTTCTCCGTGGGAAAACCCGTGAGACCTAAACTGGGAAACTCAATATCTTGTGACAAAGGTGGGCCTGAAATGAATAATTCTCAATCTTCTCGTTGACAAGAGTTATTCTATCTAATGGTCTTCCCAGACTTCAGAAACTGCAGTTTTAATTTTATAACTGCTTCCATAAAAGTATGACGTTGGTGGTTTTTGTCTGGATAATTTTTAGGACCGTTCCTGGTTTTGTGAGCACTTGCTGTGAGTGGTGATGGCAGATCTTTGATCTCAGTACGTCTTATCTGCTCATGTCACCCGCTGATGGCATTAGAGGAGGATGTGCCCCGCTGGGTTTTTCCTTAATGGGATTATCTGCCTAGCCCAGCAGTGACCAGGAGCTGGGCTCGCTTTCACAGGTTTATGTCAGCTTTCGGGCTGAAAGGTTTAAGAACTGCTTGGAATTACAGCTGGTGTTTCTGAGGTGAGCTAGATGGCTGCTAAAGGTTGTCCGTGTTTTATTTAAATAGGCTGTTTATTTATGCAGTTGGTGTTCTGCAGCTATGTAGGCAAAAGTGTTCAGGGACTCTGGGTGAGCATTTCCCAGTTCAGGGGGAAGTTTCCTGAGCAATACTTCTATTTAAGCAACAATTTTTTTCACTTCAGTATTAGGACCAGTATTTGCTGTGCCCCTGGCCCTGTGTTGTCTTTTTAAAAAGGTCGGTGCGTTCTCAAATGGCAGTCGTGCCTCGGCAGATGTGCTCAGACCAGTGACCAGAAATCTCTCCTGGTGGGCTTTTTGCTGGCATGGAAAGTCTTGGAAGTTCCCTTCTGGCTGCTTGAATTTCACTCTGGAGAATGTTTTGATTGAGAAAAATCTCAGCAGAAGATCTGCTGGGATTAAAGGTTATGGATTGCTTTCCAAAGGCCTTCAGGGTTGGGATCTTCATTCGTCTGTCCTTTTTGGGTCCCTATAACCCCAGTATTATTCTCTCCTCTTGTGTCTCGATCACTAATAGAGCATTTTCTTTCCTCAGAGTTCCTCAGTGGGGACGCTGGGCTGGGTGGTGGGGTGTGCAGTAACACTCTGCATGGCTTCAAGGATTCTACCTGCTTTTCTTTTTTTTTATTTTTGGTTGAGAGGGAGAAGATGCCCAGTAGCTTCAAGCTCATATTCCTGAAGTTTGGTGCTGTTTGTTTATTGATATCCTATAACAGTAATAAACTTTAAAGGTGAACTTTGCTAGTTGCCTCTCAGGTTGTCAGCTGGGTACAAATATATATATTTATTTTTTGTAGCCTGTGAGAACTACCCTTTCTGATAGCACCTCCTGGCTTTCATTGCCAGCAATGGTGTGCCCTGTCCACTACCTTTGGTGGCTGTAACATCTTCCTTTGCTCAGGAAATGAGAGTAGTTAATGTGAGTGCCAAATGTGCCCTGAGTGTCAATACCTGTGGTGGCCATCACTTCTGCTCTCACCGCTCTCATCTTTAAAAACTTAATTGTAGTGATGGATGAGGACAGGCTTGGTTTTGAAGGCAGCAGTTTGAAAGCATCTCCTGTAAACTTTGAATTACTCTGTGTGCTCTTCTCGGGAAACAACTGAGTGGTGATATTTACCTGCTGCCTGGATTGGTGCTGGTGGAGAGTATTGCAGCGTACAGGGTAGGAGGATATAGTAACGTTACGTGATGGTCCAAAGATAGCTACAAGATGAGAACTGCTGGTGGGTGGAGTAGCCTGAGTTCTGATCTGCTAAATGTCTGATGAGATCAGGGGGTTTGGGTTCAGAGAGAACAGGAGGAGATAATTGTTCATGCAACATGTGGTTAAGTCCTGCAGTTCCTTATCAAAGGGTGTTGGGGATGCTAAAGGCTTACCTGTCCTCAAGGGAAAACTGCATGAGTTAACAGAGCAATGAAGTCAGAATTACTGAGCGTGCAGGTAGAATCCCTCTACCCCAGGAAGCTTAAATCATCACTTGAAAGCTAGGAGAGCATTTGGAAAAGCATTCTGTGCTTGTTCAGTTTCTCTTCTTTTTTTCTGAGCATGCTGGTGTGAACTCTCTCTGCACCACTCTGAAGGTGTCACAGTACCAGATGGATGCAGGGAGCGCGTGCAGACACCCACCGTATCTACTCACTAAGCCCTCAGGCTGAGAGCACGCCAGATACAAGCTGATAGGAACAACTACTGCTTTTGATCCTAGCCAGATGGGGAAGATGGGATACTGCCTTATCTTTGGAGACCTGGAGCTGGGCAGAATTCTTGGCAGGCTGAGCTCAGGAAAAACAGGTGCTCTGTTAACAGCAAGCGGGCAATATTGGCCTTAGCCAGGCATCTGTGTGTTGGGCAACTCAGCTCCTCCAGAGATCTGTAGTGCTGGTGTGTCTGATGATGGCCTTGGTTCCGAACAACCGAATCTGAACTGGGTTCCGAACTTCAGTGCCGCTGCAAGAAGGCAACATGAGCATGTTTCATGAGTTTCTACCCTTGGAGCTCTCTGAGACTCAGCTGCCTTGGAGAACAGTTCAATGGGTGTGAGTTTGTTGCTGGGCTGTGTTTACCGAGGCTAATCAGTGCTGCTGGAGCCAGGAAAGCTGTGTGTCCTGAGAATGCTGTCTGTGCTTAGTCTGAGCTGGGCAGGAGTGGGGAATCTGGTTTGGCAATCCGAAATCTTGTGGTCAAGACTGTCTTGGGAGGATCTTCAGCGTAAAGGGACTGTAGGATGAGTGCAGCTCACGAGTCATGAGGAATGTCTGCAGGCAGATAAAAATGGAGACAAGTAAATCCTTCAGGATAAATAAATCCAAGACTGTTCACCTAGAAAGCATAATCTTTCTTACAAGGTTTCTCACCAAACTGATTTCAGCTAAGTGTTGTGTGTGTTTTTTTTTTGCTGTTGCTGTCACTTCTGAAGTGTATTTTATTTTTTTCCTCCCAAACTGCTGTTTTTAGCTCAGACAGGCTTGGGTCTGGTCAGGCAATAACTTGAGATGCCATAGTCATTGCACTTTTTTGGAGTGGCTTTGTCACGTGGATGCTAATTGCAGAGAAGTCTTGGAAGGTTCTTCTGAGAAACACGTTAGTGCTGCGAGGCAAAGGGCTGGTGCTCGCTGCAAGCGATGTGGAATAGTTTAGAAGTTACTGGAGAGAGTGGGATTGTGCAGATGTGAGTGAGTGATTTTTTTAACATCCCTTTCCTGAGACGCCCCATTTGTTGGGTTTTCTGCAGTCTCCTGTGTGTGTCCTCCAGGGTGGCGTGCGTGTGGCTCTTCTGGCTGCACACTGTTTCCCTTCTGCAGACAAAACAGTGCATGGCTTGGAATGTTGACCTGGCTCTCTAAGTATGGCACTCCGGAGAGCTCCATTTAGATTTAAAACTTGTGAGAGTCTGCATCTTCCCTGCTGTTAATCATTGTGCTGTCTATTTAATGTTTTGACAGCCTCTGTGACTCCTCTCGTTTGACATGTTGGGAGACAGGCTGGCAGCAGCAGTAAGCTGAAACCAGGTTCTATTCAGAATGGGTTTCATCACTGTAAAAAGAGATTTATTTTTTTTTTTAAAAGCAGAGGCATGTGTGTTTTCTAATTTAAAATCAGTTACATTTCTGTCAAAATAGGATCATGCATTCCATCTGCTCTGCAGTTGTAACTGTCTGAAGTCTGATCGTGAGTCTGGCTTTGTGGTGTGGTGGAATGGGGAAAAAATTACTCCTGTGAGTATTTCAGTCCTGTGTTATTAGTGGCGATAAGTATGTCCTTCATTTAATGTCAGCGGACAGTTAATTTGACTAACGTGTTTGTTATTTTAAAGTGAGTGTTTGCATGTCTGCAGAACATAACAACACCGTAGTAAAGTTTCGTGCGTGCTTCTCTCCTGAGTTAACACGGAATCTCGGGTGAGTTACTCAGGGCATGAGCATGCCCAGAATGTATTAATAGCTATCGCCTGGCTATCAAGTACTGGCTTATCAGAAAATAGATCTGGGCTGATGAGACTGTCTACGTATTGTTTACAAGATATTTGGGATCTGGGCAATATTTACTTGTGAGTCTGAGTCACTCTGGCAGTCTGTTGCAACGCAGAAACAGGAGCTCGGCGAGGGTTTTCCTGGGACTGCTGGGGAGGGAGGAAGAGGCTGAGCGGGCGGCTGGACCCGCGAAGGGCTTCGCCGGCCGGGCAGCCTCTGGCCAGGGGTAGCCCGTAGGTTTTTTAAGAGTTATGAAGTCTGAAGATGATCCTGAAGATGGGGAGAATACACCTGGGGGTCCAAGCTAAGTGAAGGATGGAACCAGATGAATTCAGTGCAGTGGAGAGAGCACCTTTCCTGAAGCAGCTGGCTGGGACTCTGGCTGGGTGCTCTGGGAGTTGCAGCAGTTTGTAGCTGGATGCGAGATAAACTGGTTGCTTCTGGCAGCAAGAAGCTGTGAGTTCCACCATGCCTTGTTGGTTTTCTTGTGCAGCTAAAGACACAGTAGGTATCTTGGATTTCTTACCCATGGCAGTAGTTTGCAACTGCAGCAATGGAAAGATTGAAGTTTGTAAATGTTTTGTAACCATTCCTTTTTAGTTAATGTGAGTTACAGCTGTCTTTAACAACTCCTCCTGTGAGGAGTTTTCTTTACATGTTAAATGCTCGGGTGACAATATTTGATTCAGTACATCGTAAGTACGTGGTATCCACTTCCGAAGTGTTACAGGCAAAGGAAAAAATATTTATATTAAGATGATAGTAATTTTTTTTAAAAATACTCTTGTTAATCAGAAGACTTACAAAATAGGAGGAAAGAATGGCTGCTGAAGGGCTCTCTATGGATTGGAGTGAGTTTGTGCTAGCGAGTATAAACGTCGAGTTTGAAACTCAGCAAGCCAAGCCCAGTTGCAAACGTGCAAGATGCGATCGCTTTCCTCTACGGATGTGAAATGTCATGCACAAGGACTTGGAGGGAACAGAGCTTGATGGCTCTGTGTGTATGTTTTCTGAGGTATTTAAAAATAAACCATCAAACTTGCTTAATAAGGGAGCTTACAGCCGAGGAGGCTTTGCCAAGCTGCAGAGGAATACTGCCTTCCCGGAGCTTTTCCGTGGTGTCGGCAATGGGGACACTCCATTGTGCCAACGAGGCTGGCTCGGCTTTTGGGCTAATGGATGTTTTAATCGATTGACAGCTGGCGCTGCCCTTTGGCAGTGTGGCACTAGTGGTGTAATTTCCTTAGTTGTCCATTGTTTCGTGTGGCTTTTAGCAAGTATCCTACTGGATAAGCCGTCTCCGAGTCTTCATGATTACTGTCATCTTGTTTATATTGTGAAAATGGGGAGTAAAGACAATGATTATTGCAGCTCCTTTATGCAAGTCATTGCACAGATGCGGGATGGTGGCAGTGGGTTTTGGGTTTTCTTTTTATGTCTCCTCTTTTAACTGGCAAACCCTGGCTCTGGAGCGAGGTGGGACCTTGCTGCAGCTCTGGGCTCCGACCGCTTTGAGAGCTGGCTAGTTGGCATTGGTGCCCTCCTTTGTGGATCTTTATTACTTTACATCCTGAAAAATTTTAGTCTTTGCTAGTAAGGCAGTCTTAAAGAATGTAACTTTTTTAACATGAAGGTTACATACCTCTTGTTTTTTACCTAATGTTCTTGCTTTCACATGAGGAGTGCTAAAGCTTTTGCGTAGTGGGTTTGGTGCTTTAGGGAGGTGGAGGAGTGTATTGTCATGAACCCAACGTGAAGGATATGGGAGTGGTAGGTTACTTTCTCACTTAAAACGCCAAAAATTTCAGCTGCTCTGTTTTGGAAATCTTTAGATTTACCAGTTTTCATGTTCTGTGTTCAGTGAGATGTGAAACTTCCTGATCCACAGTGATAAGAAATTTTACACACCTGCACTCTGCTCTTACGAGTAAATTCTTTTTCTGTATAGAGTTAGATTTGACCATAATACTCCTTTATAACCCTTTTTCTTTTTTTAAAAGCTTCTTGAATATCAAGTCACCAGTGTCCAGCTTGGCCATGAGGCTTCTGTCACAGAACAGAATTTCCTGAAAAGCGTCAAGCGATTCAGAAAGGATGATTTAGGCAATAAAGAGAACAGGCTCCATGTTTTGGGATGGGGTGCTTGGCCTGTGGCCTGAAACTCTAATTTGAAGGAAACATGGAAAAAGCGTGGGGTGACAAATGTCTGAGACTGAATGCGTGGTGGTCTGTGTGTAACTTGTACTTTCGTTGGACTCTACCTTGCTTTGGTAACTGCAGATAATTTAAAGCTATAAATTCTGAATTTCTTTCTTCTACAGCTCAGTAGATGTTCATCTCTTGAAAATTAAACTTAGCTAAATCTTGACCCTTTGAACAGCCTGACAGAGTCAGGAAAAACTGTGTCCTGTTGCATATGTTTAGTGCATCCATTTGATGTTAAAATCTGAAGACTGCTTGGGACGTAGCGGAGCTGGTTCAGATCTGTTTTTAAGAATGGCCAAATTCAGTGAGTTGAATTAGGAGTACACTTCTGCACTGGTGTCATGTGTGTACCTGTGTTGCCTTGCAGCATTTCAGCATTTGGTTTGGTACCGTGCAGGGTTGGGATACGGCCCGGTGTCGGATCGGATCCGCTGCCATCCCCGGCTGCGTGCTGGTGCCTCTCCCTCCTCGGTACCTGGCTGCGGGCGGATCGGCTCAGCGAGCTGGTTCCGTGGCAGCTCTCCGTGGATGTTTTCTCACGGATCAGCCTGTTGGGCAGGTGCAGGGTGACCGTGCTCCCCTGGCCCGAGGCGCACGGAGCGGAGGGATGCTCCATCCCTGGAGACGTTCCAGGCCAGGTTGGACGAGGCCCTGAGCAACCTGATCTAGTTGGAGATATCCCTGTTCCTTGCAGGGGGGTTGGACTAGATGACCTTTGAAGGTCCCTTCCAGCCCTGACCATTCGATGATTCTATGATTCTATGCTTTTCCCGACACCAGCCCGCGGTTACGTGGGGCGGGAAGCAGCATCACACTCTGCACTCCTGCGAGTGGATGAAAGAGGGTTTTGAGGAAAAGCAAGTTGTGTGAGTGGATAAGGTGAAAATAGGGACTCTGCTTTTTGCTTCTCCATTCTTTCATCCATTTTAGTTGTGCCTTGGATGCGAAAACCAGGGTAACTCTCAGTAAAGCTGCGAAGCTCAGCTGTTCTTCATAAATGTGAACTTGGTTTAGAGGGGGCTAAACTTAGTACAGACTTCGTGTCTTGCTGACTGCTGAATTCATGAAAACTGAAGTCTGCTGTCGATTGCATCACATAATTGTCCTGTTCAAATATCTCTCAAAGCTTTGTCTCTCATGTTGAATTCTCTGGTACCTTTAATATATAAGGTTTGATAGAGGGAAAATTGTAGCGGCGGTGTCTTATCTGCCCACTTCTGTATGAAACAGTTTTTAATGAATACTGAAAAGCTCGCACTGGAGATGATTACTTAGGCTGGAAGCTGTCAGCAGTACTATTTTGGACTGTTACTTGCAGTTCCTCACTTATCTGTTCCTTTGTGCTGCATCTTGTTTCTTAATTTTTAAGTTTTGAGACATGGACAGCTATTTTATATATATTTATGTATATATAAATGAAACTCTTGATTGTTTTATTTAGACTATGAAAATGATTGACAATAAAAATGAACAAGAAAACCTCCAGTTTTCATATAATTAATGGAGTTAATTGACTTGCTGAAGCGAGAGAAGAGTTGATGTGCCTTCTCTAAAGGGCATGAGGCTGAGACAGCTTTTCAGATATATAGGTGCTGCACAGAAAAGGAAGGGGGGTTCTTAGTGTGTAGTGATTAAAATGTGATAACTAGGCATCAGGAAAAATGTTCTATGATATGATTAGTGAAGGACTGAACTGCAGGTCTCCTTGGATGCTCTACCCCTTCCTTCAGTGGAGCTTTTGAGAGTTAAACAAGTACCAGGACAAAGCCACATAGATACAGCTGATCTTGTGTGAGGTTCCCTGCCTGCATGACCTTCGAAGTCCCTTCTAGACACGCTGGGATGCTTTTGAGATACTACAAGTTGCTATTCTATACAGTGTGTATGTGTACAAGTACACATGGTAGCCCTTCCTGCGTTGTGCGAAGTCCTTGGTTTATCACAGCCCTCAGCAGTTTTTTGAGTTTATTAATCAACCACTGTGGGAGGAGAGACTTATTTTTCTGGTGAGGATGGAAGTATCTGTGATGAGAGAAGAGGAAAGTAAAGATGCAGTGAAAAGAAAGCTGTCCTGGCAGCCTCACGTGACAGATCGAGGGGCCAGAAGGAGATGTGTAAAGGCAACCTGATATGAGAAACCGTCTGAAAACTTTATTTGAAGATGAGGATAGGGAACTACCATGTGGGGCTTCAGTTTTAGTCCTATTGGAACAAAGCAGAATGAGAGGAAGACCAAAGAGGTTTGATCCTAAAGGTCTCTTTTAGGACCAAAGTGACTGAACCAAACTGTCTTGGAGTACTGCCCATATAATAACAGCCTGGCTGAAATGCTGCAGTGATGTTACACATCAATAACTTGAAACATCTTGATAGGTACAACTCTATCTGTAAACCACGGTGGTTTTTTTGTTGTATCCTCCCAAATGCATGTGATTCAGCCTTTTATTGCAGTTCCTTTAGTAGATCAGTAGTGTACCATAAGCTGACTGGCTTTTCTAATTCTCTCTTACACAGCTGAACACAGACTGGAACAAATATGATGACAGGTTAATGAAAGCAGCTGAAAGGGGTGATGTGGAAAAGGTTTCATCAATCCTTGCCAAAAAAGGAGTCAGTCCTACTAAACTGGATGTGGAAGGGAGATCTGCGTAAGTAACTTCCAATACTACAATAGTGGTTACTCAATTCTGAAATCTTGCAGCTGTTCTAAAAACTTTTTAATATATAAATCTGTGTTATGCCTCATGTTAGATTCTAGGCTCACCTAAACTGGAATGCCAGATAGCTAGAATGTCAAAGTCTCATAAACAATCTTCACTTCAAGGTGAAGATCAGTATTTAAATACTTGCTCTTGCCAGATTTGAATGTTAAAGAGAAATGGAAAGCATATTGGTGGCTCACTGGCTCAAGGTAAAGAGTGATTACTTCTCCAGAAAGCTGTCTTGTTCCTTAAAGTAAAATCTGCAAAACTCTTAGCTGGATTTGGATGCTCTCCAAAGCTGAATTTGTGCTGTGTAGTGCTCTCAGTATGCAGCTGTTTGCTTTGACTTTCCTGATTAATATTACTGCTTTTGTGTCTCAAACAGCTGTGCTTAAGCAAGGTGTGTTTTGGTTTTTAGATTCCATGTTGTAGCATCAAAGGGAAACCTGGATTGCTTGAACACCATCCTTGTTCACGGAGTTGATATCACAGCCACTGATGCTGCAGGTAGGCTTCCTCAGCTGTCCCTGTGCAACTTGCCAAAGTTCTCAGCTTGGTTTTTATTTGGAGTGGGATTAAGCTAAACTATAGGACAGATGTTCTTCCTTTCCATGGATTTGCCTGTGGCTGGCAAAAAAAAAAAAATCTGTGTGACTCGTTGCTGAAATTAGAGGAAACTTGTCGTGTCCAGTAGTGTAAGGTCGTGAACACCCCTGACATGCAGCAGAACTTGTGGACTTTGGCTTTGTGCTGCTGTAACTGTGTTTATAGTCTCTTCCAGGCTCACTGAGATCAGTATTTCTGGTGGAGAAATAAAAGCATAAGAACTGTTTCAAATGAATTTGTGTTCATTTGAATCCTAAGTGGATTTCACTTGAGGTTGATTTCACTAGTCATGGACTGGGCTCTTTGGTTGCAGTTTGTCTAAAACAAGAAAAGACTTTAGCAAATAGTGAAGGATGTTTGAGAGAGACGACTTATAGTACTGGCAGAATTAAGGAAAAACCTGACCATTGTATTTAAGATGATGTGGATGTTGATCTCAACTGCCTCTTGGGAAATCAATCGATCAGTCTAATAACACACACATATCTTGATGCTTCATGCATCTAACGCACGAGCAGTGATGGAGCATATGGAATTATGGAGGAGGCAGAAGGCGGTTTTTTGTTGAGACGAGATTAACTGTGCTAATGCTTTAGTGAAGTGCCAATTAATTTCTGATGAATTAGCATTATGTGGCTGGTAATAGACTCTGAGAAACAGCATAGGTGTGAGTTGGTGTAGTGTTTCTAAAGGCATGGTCAAAGCATCCTGAATTGATGTTGATGTCTCGTTCTAGGTAGAAACGCGTTGCACCTGGCTGCAAAGTACGGACATGCTTTGTGTTTGCAGAAGCTGTTACAGGTACTGAAAAATACAACTCGCCCTGTGTTACGTTTTTGATTCTTGAGAGGAGATAATGCTCTTAAATGTACTGACTCAAAATTGAGATACGCCGCTCTTTTCCTTTTTTTTTTTTGGAAGAATGTAATTTAAAAAAAAAAATGGGGAAAAGGCCTTTTTGTGTTAAATAACAGGGTGTGGCTGAGTGCTAAAATCAGAAAAATAAACATCTTTTAATGTCTTCACTTAGACAATCAAGTGAAGTTGCAGTTGTCTTAAAGAAAATGGAATTGAATATCTTCTAAAGACCAGTGCTCCTTTTCTGAATACATTTGCTTTTGGGAACGGTAACACTGAAAAGTCTGCTCAAGAGTGGTGTGTTCTTCCAAAGATGCGCAATTGTGTCCAGTCATCTTTCATGAATGAAACAATACTTTGTGAGGGGTTGTCTTGGGCTTGTTTGTGTGATTGTTACTTTACCTTCCGTTACTCCTGTTGAGTTCATGCTCATTTGAACCTTTTTCAGCTTTTAATGTTTTTTTCACCTTCTGGTTGCTTGATGCGTGTCTGGTACGTTCTCTGCGGAGTGCCAGAACTAGCAGTGATACTGGCAGGGAAGGAGTGGTGACAAATAGTGGAGAATCTGAGCTGTAGTGAACAAACGTTTGAAAGTGTTTGTGAAAATAGTGTTTTAATTAATTGTGTGATTTCTTTGCACAGTCTTAGTTGGCTTCTACAACTTTTGATCAATGTGTTTAAAGGGTCTGTACGTATGGCTCTTTCTTTCACGTATGTCAGTATACTTGTAAGCTACAACTGTGGTTTTTTTTCCTGTGACTTTTTTCAAAGTCACTCTTTGTTGCTTTAATTCCAACCTCACCACATTTCGTGTTTTGTAAGTGTAATCTGAATCCTAATTGATAACTGAGGTTACTTATTTTAACAGTACAATTGTCCA